CTCTGTGGTTCGCGCATCCTCAAGCTTTTGGGACAGATTCCATCTCGTGAAAATGCTCTTCGTTAATTTTAAAACGTGATGAACGCACCAGCGGAGCGTGGGGTGCAGAGTCCTATTCTGTTTCATTGATACGAGGTGACCAGTGGACGGAAAAGGTATAAGCCTCCAAAATGGCCATGCAACAGTTCCATTAGACAGCGTACTCGCATTCGATATTAGCAGCCTTTCTGCGCTTAAAGAGCCAACGGCTTATCTCGCTGTATGACAAAACGGGTAGGAATTATTTTAGTGTTTCGGGGTGTCGCACGTAATAGGTAAAGGAATCAAAAAATGATGAGAGGGGAAAGTCAACCTATCTGGGTTTATTTAAAGGATTTTTCTTTTGCTTTTTTTTGCATTAATTCAAAAAATGTTTCGAGATGCTGCGGAGGTATAAATTATTTGAAGTAGGTGTTACTCCGCGTCTTGACGTATATTGAAATATTATCTTGGAAATTTTTGTGAAAAGCGGAAGCGTTCTCAACTATCTTAAATTAATGGCTATTTTATTTTGGAATATACTCGTACAACTTAACATTCTAGGGACAACTCCGTGGCCTCGCTGTAAAGGATGTGCCCTTGATCCGATTGTTCAACAAGACTCTTGTTTACACAAGGTCTCATTTAACTTTTTTTCGATAATACTATGGCATTGCAACGATCGAATTCCAATATGAACATCTACAACACAGAGCTTCGGCTGCTTCTAAGACTAGTCCTTTTTTCTGGGCTTCCTACTTTCCTGGTGTGTGCCTGCAACTTCTGTTTAAAATCGTAGGATTATTCGAGGATTTTGTAGTGAGTAACAAATTAATCTTACGTAGATTAATTTGATTTTTAGAATTGCGGCAATGTTGGACATAACAAAATAAAAATAATTGAGAAGGCAAAGAATCTAGAATTCTCAGATTTTGAGATGCTTTATTTTTTTCTATTTTCAAATATCTTAGCCTGCACAGAATTAATGCTGGGGTGAAAAGCGAAACATTTTTGAACTTCGCTTATTCATTACTACTTTTGTCATATATCGATAATTATTTGTTTCCATTTTAGACAGGGCTTCTTTGCTTCCACATCTGAAAAACTAACTTTACCGAAGACTTGCAAACATATAGAGGGCTCTTATCTAAAAAGTAAGGACCTGTAACATCAGCTACTACAGTTCTTATAAACTACACTCCCACTCATCTTCTTTATATTTAACCATCTTTATATCTTCATATCTTTCTGAATAACAACACCTGCTTAGATCGATTGACTATTAATTGAAATATTTTCCTGCTGAAATTGCTTGCTCGCTCTTTTCTTTCATCTTGATGGCTTGAAATTTCGTATTGAGTCGAGTCATTTTTGGCACACAATCGCCATTTTCCCCGTTTAACAATGAGAA